CCCTGCAGTACTGCACACTGGACTATAATGCAATAAAATAATTTCATAAGTGCCATATGATTATAGTAACATAAGGACAGAGAGGGTTATGTTTGCAGTCAATAATAAATTGTTGTGCTGCGTATCGTGCGCACACTATTATTATCATTCTCGTAAAGTTCTTTCAGTGGACAAATACGCAGTTGAGACTATAAACTAGTGCAAGACACATTTAGACGGTGGAAATTATAATGTAAGTTTTGTTTTTCACTTAGGTTCTTCAAATTGACAAATCAAAATTCCATTTGCAACATTTAGTTGAAACCATTATAGTATTTAGCGACCTCTGTGAATTATACTCTATAATACAGTATCTATTCTATGTACATTTTCAGAAGCGTTTGAGGTACAAATTTTTACAAAATAGTATACAAAAAAATAACGATTTGCCCCGAATCGGTGTATTGAATATCGTTATTTTTTCGTAATATTCAAATAATCGTTGACTAGAATCTCGTAATCATCATAATATATAGTATATTATTATATTCTTTACACAATGACATTCTCAAAATCGTTTAGATTAGTTTCAAGTTATTTATACCTTGAAACTATACTTAACGATATACAGCGAACATTGACTTAAAATAACTTTAAATAAGTTGCAAGTTAATCACTTAATATACTTTTTTTTTTTTTTTATTAAAGTAGAAAAAAAATATACAATCTGTATAACATAATACAATAAGTAATTTAGATAACATTTTTACCAGTGACTGGTAACCAGTCTGGACGGCTTGAGGGAAGGGAGAGTCCATTGACACTACTTCCAATATGAACTTTGGTTAAATTAAATTTTTATTGTACTTATACATAATAAGTGTATTTATAATAATTTTTGATTTATTTAGTTAGAAAATCACGTGGCCAATTTAGTTAGAAAATCACGTGGCCATTAATATACTTATAGAAAAATAGGCTACTTAATTAGTAAATTATTTTATGCCTATAAATATGTTATAAAATATCCTTTATGAAATAAACACCAATAAACAGTATATCTCCACTCAGAATTGTTTATCGTTTGAATACAATGAATTATCATTTACCTATTTTAAATTTAGCACAATATCCAAATCATCCAATATTCCTAGTACTTAACCTATTATATCCAGGAAATCTTTTTAATTACCATTATACCCCGGAATGGCTCTTTATATTTCTTCATCACGATTTGAGATGGATTTTCGAGAAACCATAACGCCATACTTAGGTACACGATGACGATTCTCACCTGTCCTCAGGAGACGTTCGAAAATAGCCTCATCGGTAGCATCAACTGACGAAAGCGACGATGATGAGACGTCCATAAATCGGAAGATGTCGAATAATGATAGAGACTACGACTGCGATGACGGCGGCACGACCATGGACGTGAATCTGTTCAAGTCGATCGGCTTATACCAGCTGATTCATCCGGTCGAATGCGGCCTGAACAGCGGCCTGTGCCGGATGGCCGTGAAGGCGATCATGGGCCTGACGCTCGCGCTGCAGTCGATGCAGGTGTACCGGCTGTACCTGGCCAGGCACGACATCCCGATGCTCGCCAACATGGCCGTGCTGGTCGTTTATGGGTTCATGTGTCTGTTCAAGGGCTACACGTTAGCGGCCCACGCTGACAGAATATGCTTAACGTTGGAGGCTGCCCGGTATGCTTTCACCGATTGCGGTAACCGTGACCCGTCCCTGATGCRTCAGTGCCGGATCAGGCTGTCCAACATACTCCGCACGTTCGTCGGGCTCAGCTTCGTCACGCTGGTCGTGTGGTTGATCATACCGTGGTTCTTAGCATCCGAGTACGACGACAAACCAATCGTCTGGGCGGTCGTGTACGTCGTCGAGTCGTTCATACTCACCGTCAATGTGTTCTGTTGGTCGTCGTTCGACTGTTACCTGGTCACCATGTGTTTCGTGTTTAACGCCTTGTTCCGCACTATGAGCTTTGGCTACGAGAAAGTCGGCCGTGGACTGCACCCACTCACCGTCCAACCGTTCGGTCACCGTCGTAGTCCAGATTCGGGTGAGTGTTTCTGACATTTACCGTACCTATACCAATATAATGTGGTAATAATTTGGCTATAAGATGATCATATTGTTTATAAGGAGAAAAGAAAACTCAGCTCAACTCTAAAAYCTATTCCCAAACTTTTTTTTAGTAATTTTTGTTTATATTTAAAATTATTTTAGAGACATTAATAATTTTGTTGTTAGGTAAGCTTGCAATATAATGTAATATTGGATGTGTAAATATACGAYTCGATTCGTGCGTTTTCAGACACGGAAAATGTATTGTTCATCGGTACTCGTCATACAAAATCTGTTTTACTATCCTTGGTTTATTCAATATTTCGATATACAATATTRCATTTTCTTGTACAGGTAAACTTTCATTCAACATATAGACTATAGGTAGTAAAATAAAATAACATAAAGATAACGGGACTAAAAAGCGACTATTATATTTATAATAGTCGCGGGACTATAATGTTCTAATAAGCGTCCTGTCCCACAAACTTGGGGACTAGAACATACGTATGTGATGATGAAAAAATAAATGTATGATAAGTGTTAGTCCAAGTCTAAAATTAAAAATAATAATTTAATTAACATTACATTTCGCTCCATCATAATAAAATTTGTATAAATAAGTTGTCTAGTACCTTGTACCTATGATGAAGCGTAAAAAACGTGTTTTGATAAAAAAAAATGTTGACGAGTTGCGCTGCAGCGATATGCAATGACTGTGCTAAAT